CAGAAAGCGAGCAAAGACACATGCGATACGATATGAAACTAACCGAAGCATCTGCCAACAAATCAAACACTATAAGCCATCTTTTAGTTTGTGTTAGCTTGTGTCTCTTTTTTTAAAAAAGACGGGGGATCACAATTCCATTTCCAACGTGGATACACGGAAGCAAAGTTTGATCAAAAAGCTTACGTCTAGCGTGTTAAACAGCTTATGAATAAGGGTCTCAAAATGCTTTGTAGAATATAAAATATACCAAAAGCATTCAATTGTATAGATACAAGAGTACTGTGAATGCGTAAACTCCCATTTATTTGCAAATGCATCTGTCATTTTTTCAGATCAACCTACCCGGTAGAGTGATTTCTGGATTTCGGGGCAGTTACTAGAGACCCATTTCTTGACTGGGTGCTCACCCAAAGTGACTCTTGAGCCGCACGAAGGCCTTCTTTCATGCGCTCCTGCATCCGTTTAGCGTAGGCATTCAAATCCGGCGAATCTGGTGGCTCCACATCTGATTGGATGGGAGCTGGCAATCGCCTATTGGTCGCATGCGATGTGATCCCAGGGGCGTCCGGAATCGGACCAAGCATGGACAAGCGAAGATGCCGAGGTAACGAACTCGCTGCGGATTCAGTGGTGCGAGTCGGAAATGCGGAAGTGGTGGTAGACAAAGAGGCAGACAGCGAAGCAGACAATGGGTCGATTATTGCGGACTGTGCATCCTCTCCTAGTACCGGTCGTCGCCGCCGACGTGCATCCAAACTGCACCCAGCTCGACCGGCATCGTCCAAAAGCCCCCAGTCTGGCAAATTTGTGACAGGCTTTTTGGATTCTGTCCGGGTCTGAATGAAATTGTTTTGATCGGTCTGGTTGGACGATGCACAGAATGAAGTAGATGACAACGGTGGTGGTGGAGGAGGAGGTACCAGTTGTTGAGGGGTTGGTGGTCCGTTGGTTCCGGGTCGTCTGACATACGCTTGCAAATAAGACCGGACTTGAGGATCACCATTCTGAAGCATTTTAGCCAACTGTTCACTTGTGACGGATCCCGATAAGGAACCTGTGGCAGACGCATTGTTGACATTCAGGGTTGCTGCGCCAGAAGATGAAGGAATATCCGGCTGAGTCGCCCCGTTTGCTTGACGCGATTCATCGCGAATCGGACTCACGGTGGACAGACCAACGGATCCATTTGTGGTGCTTCGGCGAGACAACGGTTTACGTGACCATTTCGTATCTGTAGTGTCCAACGACACTGGAACCTTACTACTTGTCCCGACATCTGAGCCAATAGGGTGACGATGCTTCAATGCTGCATACAACTCACGTGCTCGCTGACGCTGTTCCGCTTGAATGTTGCTGGATTTGCGAGTCCCGCTTGGAGACTTCAAGATCTGGTTAGAATTAATAGCGTAGCGTTCCAGCCCGGGAGTGATTGCCGCTGTGATGTTCTGATTAGCCGGCTGGTTTCTTGAAACTGTATCATGTGCCACAGAAGATGGAGCTGTAATCAATGAGACAGATCGGAATGAACATGGAACATAGTGCTTAGGTGCGCCAATTTGACTGAGTGCGAATATCAAGGTTCGAACTGTGGATCGAGTGAATACCCCTTATTGAGTGATCAATGGTAATCGGTTGGTGATTAGATCGAGTTAAAACAAATAAGTTTTCTTTAGGCCGTATTCGGACGATTATACAACTGAAGGTGTGGTAGCTGTGATGTGAACAGATTGCATGCACGAATGAAGGAAACCGGTGCATCTACAAACATCGAACTAGTTAACCGATCGGTCTCGATTGGTTTTCCATAGGTTGATGATATGATAAACAGTAGTAGTAGTAGTAGTAGTAGAAGTAAACCCCACAGTCAGGACAATTTACTGTTTGCTCTGTGATAACTGTCAGCAGCCTGCACACTCACTTTCGGAGGTGATCAAACGAGCTAGGTCGTCTTTATTCGTGTCCTCCAGGGGATGGGGTTGGAATTGCACTATCAGCACTTAAACTTGATGGTGAGCAGTTGGGGCCATAGACTGGCTCAATACCGGGCCCGACTCCTGTATTGCTCTGTGTGCTTCATCACTACTACAGGACCGGAGGCTGAGATCACCGGTTCTCATGGTTGAACTTGGAATCCTCTCACACAGTCGTGTGGATCAAAAAATCGAGATGAACGGAACACATATCTTGACACTCAGAAAACTAAAAAAAATAAGGTATCCACCAACAAAATGAGGGGGTAGCAGTGATCGTCTAGTTCACAACTCAGATGCTACCGAATCGTTGCATGCTAATGCCAGTGACTTGAACCTATCACAAGGTAGACTGGAATAAATATATGATAATTTTATTCTCACGAGGAGACTGGTAGACCAAAAAAAAAATAAAAACAATGGAAAACACTCACGCATTAAATTATTAATTTTGGCATTTTGCTGTGCCAGCATCACTGATCCATATGTGTCCTTTGAGACATCAGCAGACATTGCTGTCTGACTGGCGAGGTTGTTTTGTCTTGGAACATTGGGATCCGTATGGGCGATGGGATTCGGTTCATCGTCGGAAACTATGGAACCGGGTACGGGAGCGTTTAGCATCTGGGTGCGAAGCAATGATTGTTGTCGAGTTGGTGGAATCGGATGGAACTGTCCGGCAGGTCGATGCACAGCCGGTGTGACAAATGGGTTAGGGACAGTAGTCACAGCCGAGTTTTGTGATGAAAGTCCAGACTGATTTCGGGCGGGCCAAGACGGCGGTTGTGTTGAAGGATGGTGCATCAGCGGCTGACTTTGTCCGGCTGTTAGTTGGTTTGTCGGATACGAGTTATTCAATCGGGATGGTGGACGGGGTTGGTTGGCGTGGAGTGGCGCTGGTGCATGATCTGCACCCGGGGCAAAAGTTGTTAGAGTGCCCGGTCCAGGCAGGGACAAAGCCGCGTAGGATCCTGTATTCACCTCCGATGTCCCGTGCTGAGGCGATGGGCAGAGAAAAAGGAACAGATTATCCTAATCTCATTGTTTTAAATGAAGTAAGTAACGACATATATTAGTTAAACCAATTGTGATGGTATTTCGTTGCATGAGAGAAACTAGAAAGATTTGTTGAGCGTATAACTATACCTTATTGCAGTTTATTAAGTAATCAAAAAGGAATTTTACAGACTTTTGTGGATTAAATGAAAATAATTTAAATAATCTATAAAGGGAGAGTGAATGGTAACGCATTCATAACGGAATACCATGCGAATAGAATTACTTGCAACAAAAGAATATTTTTGTCACTACCCGAAAAAAAAAATCATACTCACCATATATCCTGCTGGTCCAGGAATCATTGTTATCTGGGCGTTGCTGGCACTTGATCCGAACGAATCCTGATTAACTGAACCGGTGGTAGTTTTAAAACTAGGTCGAGTCAACGCCGGGGATGATGAATAACCACCGGGCTGACATCCGACAGTAGTAGTAGTAGTAGTAGTAACATCTACCTGCCCCTGATAATGCGGATGCGGATGCTGTTGCTGATGATGATATGACGATGGAGACACGGAACCTGATGGCCAAATTAACGGTGCATTGGGGCGTGTAGTAGGCTGAGATCTGCCGACAGAAGAAGAAGGCGGAGTTCTGGGGTGGTCAATACCTTGAGGTTGAAGACGCAGTACAGGACCTGTAGGATGGTTCGAATTGACCACCTGACCAGTTATCTGATGCGTGGGATACCGGCTGTTCACATTTACATTGGTCGAGCCGGTTGGACTGTCATCCTGTGAACTGACACTCCCCTGAGGGCGATACGTTGTCGAACGGAGTCCGGTCCGTGGGATAGGCATTGAGGAGACGGGACGAAGTTGGCTAGGCCGAGATGCACGATCAAACACCGTGGCAGGAGGAGTTAGTGCAATGCGATCTACCGATAGACGGGGTAGTGCCGGGGGAATCTCCGTCCGAGTTTTTTCAAGTTCACCGTCACTCACCGTCGAATTGCCAGTTGAACTGTTAGGAGCGAGACGTCGAGTGAAATGCCTTCGGGCGATCTCGGTAGTACCACGTGAATAGGTACGCCCGCGATTTGCATTTGATTGCGAATCTGTTGGTAACACCAGAGGATGATGCACGAACAATTTAAATTACCTGTTTCAATTACCTTGATCAATGATTCCTCGAACCTTTCTGGACAACTTTAATTGAAACAAACTACACCTTCCCCCATCAAGCTTTAGTCGAAATCCGCAGTCCTTTAGCCTCGACCCGTAATCCAGTAGCTAAAACCCACACGGTTTAGTTAAAACCTATAATCCTTTAGATTTGACCCACATTTCTTTAGCTAAAACCCGTTTGCTTTAGCCACCACCGGTAGTCCATTAGCCTTGACGCACAAACTGTGGTCCTACCTCTGTAGACGAGTCAGATAAAAAGATATGAGAATATTTCGAGGTCAACGAATGTTGAAAAAAATCATTTTCCACAAATGTAGATGTTGCAAAGCATGGCTAATAAATGAGCAGGTTTGGCGGTCTCACATTGCTTCAGATGTTGATTGGAAAAGGTTTAAACGATGTGCCCGTATCGTCAAACCATTTGGCACAGCTTCAGCATTTCGTAAAGCTTGCAATACTCCTGTGAGTACACATCTCAAATGGAACTAAAACGGCACTGTGTTTTGCGTTCACAAGACCTGAAATAAAACAAAACGTGATACCACTAAAACGTAAATGCTTATCGCTCCGTATCTCCACTAAATGTAACCCTTGTTCATGAGAACTGGATATACTAACAGGTCGAAGACAATAAACACTGTTTACTGTACTTCACACATCTCTCAACCGCTCGGACTCGGACTCGAATGCCAAAAAAATCGATGAGCATGTGCTAGCTAGAATGCATTCAAATTTTGCATTCTCTTCTCTCGATATTCCTTGGAATGGTAAATTGTAGGATCCATATTTAGGATAACACGTAGGGTGACAAAGAGCACACAGACTCCTCCGACGGGCATAATAGGGAACTGTTCACTGCTTGGTCACGTATCCCGTTACAATCTCACTTAGATCAAGATTCTGTGATGCTAATCGATCGCATATGTTTTAGGAAAATACTGTTTAATTATCGTCAAATGATTGCACATCCGTAGGGCAACCAGTGTGTGGATCTTTGCTAGATTATCAAGACTCTCCAAAAGACCAGATGCCTTTCTTGTTACGTTTATGATCCCTTCAAGTATGCAGAAATTTGATCCAAACGCCATACAACATTTTTCCAAGTCTCCAAACAAAGTGTTACACCATTCACCTCGTTCGGTTCGCAGATTAGACTCCACATTATAATTTGGCTATTTTTATTGTCGCTGGAAATCATGTTTCATGCAATTACGTTTGCCACAACACCGAACTTGCTTGCCATCAGGCTTGATGCATGTTCAACGATGAGAATCGGTGCGCTGCCTGTACCCTTCTGACAAAAAGAGATGCTCTTACATGTGCTCAGGACCTTTGCCATTCTTAAATAAATATAAATATCTTCTTACTTCCTTTTTCATTCAATAAATATACAAAATTGCGGTCACCATTCAGAAAGGGGGACCACGGCGCACACAAAGGCTGCCTGGGGAAAATACAGACTTAGGGAAGACGGACCGCGGTGGAATGGTTTGAACCCACGTCACAAGATGGTTACCTACCAACTTAGTCCCCGCTACCCATTCACTGACATAAAGACTTAAGACCTACCGATGAGTACCAAGGGTACCATTCGAATCCTGCTCAACTCACAAACAGACCGAAAAGAGACAGATGGACAGGCCTTCAGCCAGCACTCATGACTATATCCAAAATGACTTAATTAGTGCGCTACGCAGCTTAAACAAGAAACCTAGTTTGATCAGTCAACTTAATAACGAATTCGGAGGATGCGAAGGAGAACTCCACAAATACAGCAGAAAACCGCACAGGAAAAATCCACACCCAAACACTCTCGTGCAACTACACATCATCTATTGGTGATCCGTTACCTCGTCAGGTTTTGTAGACACTGGCTTTCAACATTTGAAGAAGTTTAAAGACCCTTTGCTATTATTGATAAGTCAATCTAGCATTTCTCTGTTTCTTTATGATTTCATTGATGATAATGCATTTCCATGAGCAATGTGATCGATTTGAGTCCAGCGCTGTGAACCGGTTGGCGGTCTCCATATAAAACGGTGGCGTTTTTGTGCTTCACAACCACTGATGATGTCACCTCGGCTGGTGATGAAACGTTTGCAAACAAATTGCCAAGCTCCGCGAACAGGCGAAATAGAATGACCCTCACCGTGTTTATTTACTGAATTGACCGCTCCAGGGGTGGGTGTGGATAGAACGAAGGAAGCCAGGAGATGTTCAAGCAACTGACCTTATGAGACTGATCTTCGTCTGGCCTCTACCCCTCGACCTTTCAGGCATGCTTGGATCTACGGCTGTGAGAAGCCATCCTGTATAGCTCGTACGGTCATANATACTACGCCAAGGTGCAGTTTCGTCGTGATGGATTTCCATGAGCTCTGATTTAGATAATTGATTCTCCGTAATAAAAATTGATAAGGGGCTTGCAGAAAAAGCGATCAACTCGAACGAGGCCACAACAGTCAAGCTCAGATTAGTCAGTAATGTAGAAATGTGGGAAGTAAGGCAAAAATTTGTTTTCGGTTTTCGGCTAAGAGATAGCGAACCCATAAAACATCTGAGCAAGGCGGCACACCATAATTGTGGATTTCAGTAGCGACCGATCACATTCAACAAAGCCCCACTTCCCTTGGTGCGTGATGCAGACGGGAATGAGGTTGAATCGCAGAATAACACGAACGACGCACGAATGAATGACTTCCGGCAGTTATGTAGGGTTAGATTCCCAAAAGACTTTTGTGCAAAATTGCAAACTAAAGTTGGTGTGTGTGTGTGATTCAAAACTGTGCATTTTCGTCC